CACAAATTCACATTAAACTCATTCTAACCTTTGATGCTCATATTTTATCTATGGCAGATGAACAGCTCTTTTGAAATTAGGAAGGTCCAAAGCAAGAGGGGATTATTCTAGTATGCACATATCTGTAACACGCACATATGTTCAAGCTACCTATCTGTTAGGCCCAATTTTATATTCACACACTTCTTTATAAACATTGCTTGGCCACAATCACTAAACAGAGACAAGCACTCCCCAGGCTTTCAAGTCCAGCAAAAAATAATCAGTATTGGTGCACTCTGATAAGGATTTCTGCAGTACAAAGATTGTCCTTTGCTGAAAGTATAGTTTGCAAACAGAAAATCATTCCTTCTATGATGAAGATACCCAAGGGAGGAGTGGGTTGGGGGACATTTGCCTCTGGGCCATTACTAATAACATACAGTATGTTGGGCTGGTGGCAATAACTGGAGATACCTCACCATTCTAGCATCAGTCATAGCAGAACCCATAGTCAACAACCCATGCTAGGCAGTTCTGCAATCACAAAAGCTGTCAGAGGCAAGTCTCCAAGCACTGACTTCTTTTGTGGTGTTAAAATGTTATGTAAAGTATTACTGAAAACTACAAAGATTGTTGACCCTGAGAGATATAAGGGTGTATCACTGTGAGGGATAAGCTAAATGTTATCAGGTTCAGTTCAATGGAAGTTCAGCAAATGTTACTGATTCCAAGTCTGAACTCCACTGAAACTAAGGTAATCAATTTTAGAAGTCAGTATTTACCATTTTCTAGGTTAATAGGCAAGGCATTTTCAAACAAAGGGCATGGAGAGCTGGGAAATGACCTAGGGGACATGTACATATGCAAAACAAAAAGTGCTCTACACAATGAGGGTCTTTTCAGGTGACTCAAATGACAGCATTGAAAATTCAGAAGTCCTTAGCTGCTTCCCGCCCAGCCTCTAATATATTGATAGTCAAGCGAGTATGCTGTCATCCTGGGTGGAACTCATATGACCCATGGGCAACACTGCGGTGTGATCTGTCACCCACTGTGTCCACTGGATGACAAATCAGTGGGCCAGGATGCTGTTGGTACCATGTGATTGCTGTGACCAATCACAGCATATCACATGCCAATTGTACAGAATAAATGGCTTCCATTCATAGCTATTCCTTGAGTACTATTGTTTTGATCTTTGTGAGTTATCACATGGTACAGCCAAGGCCAATCGCAGTGCATCTGTGCCATGTAATAGCTGTGGCCAATCACAGCTTCATAATAGTACACAATGGAATGAATGGTAACACTGTACTGCTCTGGTCACAGTACATTAAAAAAAATTGTAAAAAAAAGTAATAATAAAGAAAAAATTGTTTAAACAATTGAAAAATATTTTTTTACATACTTTCACAAGTCAGTGTCCATGATCTCTGCCATTCCAGGTATATGATGATGCTGTACTGCACTGGTGACTAAAAAAAAAAAAAAAATGTGAAAAAACAACACTATGCACTGTCACTGTACTAATGGCACTGGCTGGAAAGGGAGTTAACAACATCTTGAGGTTATCAAGGGGTTACGTGTATGCATAACAAGTGTTAATATGTTTAATTTGTGCTGCTTGTTACTAAAAACCTCTTTCTTCCCCCTGGTTTTCAGGGGTCTATATATGGGGACTTATCGGAATCTGGAAGCCCCTTTTAATAATAAGGGTGTCCTCAGGTACCACCCCAATGTTAATGAGCAAAGTGTACAAAATGATGTGACATGAATAATGACACCCAAACATGTGACAAGTCCTTTATTAAAAAATAAAAACCCCACTTCAATTCAATTACAATGTCTATCATCCACTGACTCACCGGAAAAAAAAAACATATGACCTCACACACATGACTGATACCCATGGCATCTCTAGTCAAATGCCAGCTCCCCAAGCTGTCATCAGCTATATAATGGAAGGAGCAGGGATAGTGGCAACATCATTGCCAACTATGACCAGTGACCATATTGGGTCAGTGATGCCAGTGATATCCCTGTCCCTTTGTTTACATGGCCAGGGAAACCTGGCCATGTAAGGCAATGTTCTATGATATCAGAGTTTCTTAGGGATGTGGCAGGTACAAGCACTTGCTGCTTTCAAAGACCTGGGATTCCCCCAAAAAAACTTAGCCACATCACAAGACCATTGTTGATTTTAAAGGACAACATATTGACGCAAACGATACCAATGTATATATACTGTATAGCAAGATATGTATATCAAGACTAGCATTGAATATATGTAAACTATTGGAAGAAATGATAAGGGACCATATCCAAGAATTTACATTAAAAATAGTATTATTAGTAGTAGCCATTATAGATATATAAAAGACCATGCTTGCCAGACCAACCTTTTAACACTCTATGAGGAGGTACGCCGTAGTTTCGATAGAAGAAGGCATGTGGACCTTGTGTATCTAGATTTCTTATCATTTGATAAAATACCCCACAAACATGTAATTTACAAATTAAAGTGATTGTAAAGCTTCAATTTTTTTTATTAAAAGAATAAACATGTTATATTTACCTGTTCTATACAAGCCCCATCCCTCCTTTTCTCGGGCCGCTCCCTATGAGGGCCATTGTACAGGCTTGCTCCTGAGCCCCTCTCTTTTGTCACAGAGTTTGATTGACAACAAAGGCAGCCAATGGCTCCTACTGTTATCGATCTGCCCCATGAGGAGAGACAGAGCCAGGAGAGCAGTGACGCTCATGCACAATGTTGGATCTTGATGGGGCTCAGGTAAGTATAAGGGGGGCTGTGGGGTGATCCAAGACCCCAATTTTTTTTTACCTTTTAATGCATAGAATGTGTTAAGGTAAAGAACTGTAAGGCTTTACAGCCACTTTAAGGCCTTTGGCATTGATGATATTTTATGTACAGGGATAAGAAACTGGTTGTAGGAGCACACCCAGAAGGTGGTGATTAATGGCACATGTTCTGAATGGTAAAGAGTGGTAAGTGATGTGCCCCTAGCAATGCACTAAAAATGTGTATGCCAGGTACTTGTTAAAGGGAAAAGCTTGGGGGGAATCAAGAGATAAAAAAATAATTCTACCACTTTACAAAACACTGGTTCAGCCACGTCTTGAATATGCCATTCAGTTCTGATCACTAATCTTTAGAAAAGATGTCCTTGAACTGGACAGAGTGCAGAGAAGGACAACAAAGTTAATTAGGGGGCTGGAGGGCCTCAGGTATGAGGAAGAACTACAAAAATTAAACTCCTTCTCTCTGGAGAAAAGATGCTTAAGACAAGTTGAACAGGATGAATCAATGTCTTTTTTCAATCTTACCAACTATATAACTATTCCATTAATATACTTGGATACAGCACTCTGTGAACAGCCAGCTTCTTTAGCAATGACCCTTTGTGACTTACCTTCCTTGTGGAGGGTGTCAATGACTGTCTTCTGGACAACTGTCAAGTCAGCAGTGTTCCCCATGATTGTGTTACCTACTGAACCATACTGAGAGACTGTGTAACCACATGCCTTCCTGATTTACCCCCTTCCTGACCAAGCCATTTTTGCGTTACGGTGCTGCGTTACTTTTAACTGACAATTGCGCGGTCATGCAACACTGCACCCAAATTAAATGTATGTCCTTTTTCCCCACAAATTGAGCTTTCTTTTGGTGGTATTTGATCACCTGTGCGTTTTTAATTTATTGCTCTATAAAAAAAAAAAAAACCTGACAATTTTAAGAAAAAAAAACAATATTTTTCACTTTTTGCTATTAAACATGTTCAGTAAAAAAAATTTAAAATCAAATTGCATCATAACTTTAGGCCAAAATGTATTCTGCTACATGTGTTTGCTAAAAAAAAAAATCCCAATACATATAAATTAAATGGTTTAAGTGAAAGTTATAGCGTTTACAAATGGCAGTATAGATACTGAAATTTTTTTATTTTTTACTAGTAATGGCGGCGATCAGCGACTTATAGAGGGACAGCGGTGGGCATTCTAACACTGGGGGGAATTGACTTGGTGTCACTGACATCCCTAGTGACACCAATACAGTGATCAGTACTAAAAAAAAAGCACTGACACTGTACTAATGGCACTGGGCAGTAAGAGGTTAACATGAGGGGTGATCAAAGGGTTTACTGTGTGCTGGGAGTGTTTTACATAGGGGGCCGTGTCAGTGTGCTTCACTGTAATCACACTGCTTTGGATGGCTGTGCTGTGCGCAGTCATCCAAAGCAGTGTACCCGAGCTGACAGGGAGGAGAACTGTTGGTAAACAAAACAGTTCTCCTCCCTGTCTGAGATCGTCAGAAATTTGCCCGGGCACCAGCAAGTAATCACCAGCCGCAACCCAGTGATTGCCACATGAAATGCTAAATCAAGTATATATACGTGATTTTGCGCACCCGTGCTGCATTGTAGCAGTATGTTTGCTATAGTGCAGAAGGGAAGCGGTTAAAGACTCAGGAAACCTTTACAGATGTTTTGAGTTAATTAGCGGATTAGAGTGTGACACCATGATTCTACAATGTTGAATTTTTCACAATATTCTAATTTTCCGAGATACTGAATTGTGGGTTTTCACTAGCTGTAAGTCGTATTCATCAAAATTAAAAGAGAAATTCTTGAAATATTTCACTCTGTGTGTAATTGGTCTATATAATATATGAGTTTAACTTTTTGAATTGAATTACTAAAATAAATAAACTTTTTCATGATATTCTAATTTATTGAGATGCACCTGTCATATATAGAAGCTGTCAGAAATAGACCTGGTAGAAATATCATTTCTATTAACTACCTGCCGACCGCAGATAGCCAAATGACGGCTTCACTGCGGCCGGCCAGTTCTGGGTGGACGTCATATGACGTCCCCCCAGAACGTGCTCTCCTGCGCGCCCCAGGGGGCGCGCACCCGGCGATCTCCGTGATCGCTGTGTCCTACGGACACAGCTGATCACGTGATGTGGTAAAAGGCCAATCACAGCGGCCTTTTACCACCTTATCAGCGGTGTCCAATGACACGCTGATCAGAGGGAAATGCAAGTGACGGTTCTCGGCTGCACTTTCCTCACGCTGTCAGATCGTGAGGAAAGTACTGCCGAGAACCGGAAGTTGTCAGAGCGGGGATCGGCACCAATCATCAGGGCACTGATGATCAGTGCCCTGATGATCGGTGCCCAGCAGTGCCACCCGCAAGTTCTGCCCACCTGTGCCCAGCAGTGCGCCCACTAGCTCCGCCCACCTGTGCCCAGCAGTGCACCCACCTGTGCCACTCTGCAGTGCCACCTACCTGTGCCCAGAAGTGCCACCTACATGTGCCCAGCAGTGCCACCCACCTGTGCCCACCCACCTGTGCCCACCAGTGCCACCCACCTGTGCCCACCCACCAGTGCCACCCACCAGTGCAGCCCAGCAGTGCTGCCAGTCAGTGCCACCAGTCAGTGCCCAGGGGTTGTGCCAGTCAGTGCTGCCAGTCAGTGCCCAGCAGTGATGCCAGTCAGTGCCGTCTATCAGTACCCATCATCAGTGTCACCTATCAGTGCTGCATATTAGTGCCGCCTATCCGTGACACCTCATTAGTGCTGTCTATCAGTGCCGCCTATCCATGCCACCTCATTAGTACTGCCTATCAGTGCCCATCAGTGCCGCCTATCAGTGCCCATCAGTGCTGCCTCATCAACGCACATCAGTGAAGGAGAAAAAATGCCTGTTTGAAAAATTTTTATAATAGAAACAAAGAAACTTTTTTTTTCAAATTTTTTGCACTTTTTTATTTATAGCGCAAAAAGTAAAGCGCCCAGTGGCGATTAAATACCACCAAAAGAAAGCTCTATTTGTGAGAAAAAAATGATCAAAATTTCATATGGGTACAATGTTGCATGACCGCGCAATTGTCAATCAAAATACGGCAGCGCTGAAAGCTGAAAATTGGCCTGGTAAGGAAGGGGGTATAAGTGCCTGGTAGGCAAGTGGTTAATCGTGCCTGACTCATGCCAAACAGGGAATCGGATGGGAAAAAGGTCTGGCGTTCACCTGAATGCCCAAACAGCCAACGTTTTTTTTACCGAACCATTGGCTCATCCTTATGTAGTCTTTTGCTTATATTCATCCATAAGCTTGCCTTTAACATATTCCTGGATAAGCTCATCAACTGATAAAGGATCAAGTAAGTAATTGTGAGTATCTCATAGCTGCCTTGGAAACCACTGAGTAGAAGTGCTTATCTATAAAAGTCTTTTTTTCCCTCTCCTAAAGCTTCCAGGTTTTCCACCAATTTCTAAGTACATATCATTTTAACCTATATGTGCTGACTTTTCATTAGCTTAAAAATTAAAACCACAGTGATAGTGTAAATGTGGTGCACACACTTAACAGTGATAATAACCAAATTAACATATATTCCAAAAAATTAAAACAACCACAAAAATCTCATATCAAAAAAAGTCATTAATATGTGAAAAAATTAAGTGGGAAAATAAATAAATTAATGTGAATCCAAACCAAACATCACATATTTAAATCCACCATGTGATGAAAAAATATACAGTGAAAACAAAGAATATCCAGTGATAAAAAATCCACAGTGGTCACAGTGCGTCCCCATATGGGTGTGCACTTACCAGTGCTCTATTGTCCTCTGCTTTGGTAGGTGAGAAAAAAGAAGAAGAGGGCTTTAACTGGTAAGAGATAATACAAGAGATGAAAGGAGTCCCCAATATCCACTTGTTCAGCCACCTGTGCACAAGGATCTCACAAGGTATCCGATGTCACTCCATGGACAGCAATATCATGTGAACAGAAGAAGGAACAAGACCCGCTCCAATGATGTAGTACAAATATATTGAATGCTTTAAGAGTTGCACTTACAATGTGTACAAAAAATACAAGCCCAATTGCAGTGTGGAAAAGCGGAGACCGCTTAGGTGCTCTCACCACCTCCGGAACAAACAACATCAGACGCTGTTGCATCATTTCCGGTTACAGTCCCGCGTCAATTCCGGTTTGCCGCACCGTCACACCCTTCGTCATTTCCGACTTACTCATTTGAGTGACAGTGCGATGCGGCCAGAGGTCAGGACTCTGTGCAGGCCAGTCAAATTCCTCCACCCCAAACACGCTCATCCATGTCTTTATGGACCTTGCTTTGTGCACTGGTGCTCAGTCATGTTGGAACAGGAAGGGGCCATCCCCAAACTGTTCCCACAAAGTTGGGAGCATGAAATTGTCCAAAATGTATTGGTATGCTGATGCCTTAAGAGTTCCCAATGGAACTAAGGGGCCAAGCCGAACCCCTGAAAAACAACCCCAAACCATAATCCCCCCTCCACAAACTTTACACTTGGCACAATGCAGTCAGGCACATACCGCTTTCCTGGCAACTGCCGAACCTAGATATGTCCATCAGCTTGCCAGACACAGAAGCATGATTCGTCACTTCAGAGAACATGTCTCCACTGCTCTAGAGTCCAGTGGTGGCGTGCTTTACACCACTGCATCTGACTCTTTGCATTGCACTTGGTGATGTAAGGCTTGGATGCAGCTGCTCAGCCATGGAAACCCATTCCATGAAGCTCTCTATGCACTGTTGTTGTGTAACCTGAAGTCCACAGGAAGTTTGGAGGTCTTTAGCTATCGACTCTGCAGACAGTTGGTGACATCTGCGCACTTCAGCATGTTCTGACCCCACTCTGTCATTTTATGTGGTCTGTTACTGTTGTTCCCAGTTGCTTCCACGTTGTTATAATACCACTAACAGTTGACCATGGAATATTTAGTAGCAAGAAAATTTCACGGATGGACTTATTGCACAGGTGGCAACCTATCACAGTACAACACTTGAATTCACTGAGCTCCTGAGAACGACCCATTCTTTCACAAACGTTAGCAGAAGCAGTCTGCATACCTAGGTGCTTGATTTTATACACCTGTGTCTATGGAGGTGATTGGAGCACCTGAATCCAATGATTTGGAGAGGTGTTCCAATACATTTGGCAATATAGTGTAAGTCTCTATAGTAAGATGGTGCTGGACACAAGGCAGAGCCTTTCTTGTTTTATTGGTAAACAACACAGAGAAAGAAAAATATATCATAACCATGCAGTTCTATTTGGAAGAACATTACATTTAATAACCATTAAACATTATTACCTAGCTGCCGAACTATCAATCACAGTATCATATAGGAGAGAGGTTGTTGCACGTAGGTCCGTAAAAATGGCATGCTAACAGGTACAGATGTTAATTGCTGTCACTTTGTACCTGACAAATATATAAATCATAAATAGGAGATCAAACTTCTGACAAATTGTGCAGAAACCGTTGTCCATGATGATTTAACGAATATAAAGCTGTATTTTTCTAGTTATTTTTACCAGAAATCTAATTAATGCATTTATTGTTGGGCAAATTTAAAGGATTTAAGGATTTAAAGGATTTAAAAACCATACTGATGCTGAATTCCAGGCATATAATAAAAGCAGAAAATAATGTAGTTCTGTAATCATGAATATATAATTTAATGCATTTTTTAAGGCAAGCAGTGTAAGTACCTGAACTTCACTGGGCATTGGAGTCTTGCACAGCTTAGAAATGGGGAGGGAGGTGCAACACAAGGAGCTAGTCAAGTATGCTGCAGTAAAGGAGCATGCTGATAGAAGAGAGGAATTAAAAGAGAGAATAACTCATCAGTGTGCTTATTCTACAGTCATATGTTGTGGATGGGGAGGAGACACTTAAGCTATAGTGAAACTGCAGCATAGAAAGTTCACATTTTCCTCTGCTGGACAGGGCCATATTGTGTGTCAGAGCTGTGTACATAGTATGACTAGAGATGAGCGAAGTATTCAAAAAATTCGATTCGACTGATTCGGCGAATTCGTGGAAAAATTTCGATTCGAGTCGAATATATTCGCTGTGAATTTAACTTAAAAAAGGGTGTTTCTAGGCTTCAGAGAGACTTAATATTAGTGCTGAACACTGTACCTTTAATTTAAATGCCCTTGGAGTCTGCTGGGGAAGAGAAATAATACTGTCAGTCAGTATGACATGCAGATGAGTGCCGTCGATCTTAGAATCACCGCACACTTCACTCATTTGGGCAGTCACGGGGCCAAAACCAGAGTGTGGAGCCACAGTGTGGCGGTGGAGGCAGCAGCAATGGGAGGCCATACAGCACCCTATGACAAAAATGGAAACCACCAGCAGTGTGAGGAGACCTGAAAGTGGCACATGGCAGAGTGTGGCGATAGAGACAGCAGCAATGGGAGGCCGTACAGGGACCCATGACACACTCTGGACCTGGCAGCAGCATGAGGAGGCGGTACAGGGGCCCATGACAGATTACGGGCCTGGCAGCAGCATGAGGAGTCGGTACGGGGGCCCATGGCAGATTACGGGCCTGGCAGCAGCAATGGGAGGCCGTACAGGGACCCATGACACACTCTGGACCTGGCAGCAGCATGGGGAGGCGGTACAGGGGCCCATGACAGATTACGGGTCTGGCAGCAGCATGAGGAGTCGGTACGGGGGCCCATGACACACTCTGGACCTGGCAGCAGCATGAGGAGGCGGTACAGGGGCGCATGACAGATTACGAGCCTGGCAGCAGCAACTTGGACAGGAGGACGTTCAGCTTCTGCACCGTCGGGTGCGTGTTCGCAAACTGTTGTCTCTTGGAAACGGATTCCAAGAAAGACTGCTGACGGAATCCGTGAAGAGGAGTAGCAGGAGAAGGAGCATCTGAACGAGCGGAATATGCCAACAAGCGACAACAGGGGCCCATGTCAGATTACGGGCCTGGCAGCAGCATGAGGAGTCGGTACGGGGCCCATGGCAGATTAGGGGC